TGGCTTGGGAGACAAATTTTGTGCATTGCATACGACGCCCGCTAGTATTACATATTCGAACTAAAAATATAAAAAAATTTAAAATACTTGTATCATAAACATTGGTTGATATGCATCGAATGTCCTGAAACACTTTAAAATATTTCTAAACACTTCAAAATTAATATAGTAATTTCAATATTCAGTCGTTGATTTATTTATGTTCCCATGAAAACCAAGTGTTTCAACCATTTTGATGAAAAATAAATGAAATTTTGATCCTTGAGCGTGATCATCCCACCCCAATGATCATCATTAACGTACACGTTTACATACATTAAAATTAATCTCTCCTCCCAAAAAAAATAATAAACTTGACCAAAATCACCATAGGGTAATACTATTTGGATATAAAAATCTGATCGAATTTGCTAACATAATGATATGGTTTCATAGGAATTATTGGATCAACACCAAGTTCTAATGTTTGATGATGGGGTCTACAATGAATCTAAAAGTTACAGTGAATTAAGTCGGTAAATTAGGTCTCAATAGCATTGCTCAATCACCATATTAGAACATGGATATTTCATGACAATAAATAATGATTCAAAATTAAATTAAATATATGACCTAATAGTTCCAAGTTTCAATTATTTGAAGCTTCATACACTCTGACTAATAATTCACACTTACTATCTGTACTCTTGTTTTCTGAAGACAAGGCCAACATGTGCTTTATGATGCTCTGCTCACTTGCATTGGAATACTTCAATTAATGGAGAATATTTCTGCAGCTGAAAATTTATGAACATTGGAATAATAACATATAGTCAAGGAAGTTTAAGTTTCATAATCTTTTTTGCATGTGGCTCGTCTGTGCTTTTCGAGGCACTGTCTATGACTCAACATGATGGTGATGCTCAACTCTAAATTGACATTCAATTGGTTGGTTGAAATTCGATTTGTATTCTATGGTCGGATAACTTAAGCGGATATTCAGATTCAATTATTTTTCACTTGAACTCAATAATGAGTTGGAATACAAAAATTGTGAGTGTTACACGAGTAGGTGGGATTAAATTTTGTTTGTTTGTCTTAACTCAACTCGAATATTAAAAAAATTTCTTCAATATTGTATATTTTATAATTGAATTTAGATTGGTTTTGCGTAAATTACACCCCTGTTGCAAATAATAATATTGATGACTTTAAACATGTTATGCTTCTGCATTTTGCCACGAGTATGAATATTATTATCATAACTTCCCCTAAAAAATAATATTATTTTCATCTACTAACTATAGGTTCATCTCCTCTACATTTTCTCCAATATTTCAACTTGTCAAATCATGCCATGCCTACAATGGTCACTTGATGTCACCACATATTACAAATAAAAAGGAAGAAAGATATGTTATTAGTATTTCTTATTTTTATCATACCAAAAAAGGGTTGGTAGATGTATGTAATCGTTGGGTTCTTAATAATAATATTGCGAGTCTTGGTGCAATGGTAAGGTTGTTCCATTGTAACTTGAAAGCCACAAACTTGAGTCGCGAAAACAGTTTTTCTACTTGTAGAGGTAAAATTGCATATATCTAATCTCGCCAGAATTATGGACATATGATCATCCTGCATGCATGATGTGACCCCATATGATATCTATGATAAAACACAAAAGCAAAAAATGATACTATTGCTATAATTATTTATGATAGGGTTTGGTTGATGTTTTGTAGTTGATGGGTTGCAGGAGGAGACAGATAACCAACAATGGCAAGCTCCAAAAATAAATAATATTGAGGGAATCTTTTGGGTACATTGAATGGATTTTTTTATTTATATAGAACTCAAGTGTTATTTAAAAAATTAATAAGATTTTTTTATAAGGTCCCTCGACCAATTGAAAAGGGGAAAAAATCACATAAAACCTCCCTTGAGATAATTAAATTATAAATTTTGTCAGAAGGTTTGGAATAATCGCATGAAGTGCAAAATGACCCAAGGTTCTTCACTTGACGAACAGATTATAAAATTTAAAAAAAAAACCCAAATTGATATTCATTGTTGCACAGATAATAAAATGGCAAAATAATAATAATAATAATGGTGATGCATTCTAGATTTTGTTTTTAGTAAAATTCAAAAAAAAAAAAATAGTTCGCTCTGTGCTTACTGCGTGCCATCATGATTTGGAAGTTGTTGTGGTTAATTTGGTGTTAATACCATTTTTAAAAAATTTAATAAAATGCCTTCTCGTTCTCATTTATTGTTTGAGTTTTTCCCTTTAGTTTTGATTTTTATCTGAATATTCCTCTCGTATGTCTAGATTCTACCGAGGGAGTTCTTCATAGGTCTATAACTAATCAAACACCTAAAGTACTGTTTGACCTGCATATCTTAAATAAGCAAGGTTGAAAGTAAACGCCTTATGCAGAGAAATGATTAGACAATTTGTCTAAAACAATAATACAATTAAGGTTAGTAATGAATCATGGCACGTTGAGTTTGTATTGTTGTTAAGTTGTGTCCGAGTAAGGGTGTTCACCCTCTTTTATAAGTAAAAAATGTGTTCTTTCGTCTTTCTACCCGATACTTTAAGGAAGAATTTGTTTTTTAACGTATCCTATCCGACAGGTGTGGTATTCCTACCTAACTTCCTACCCGATTAATCGGTTAAGAAGTCGAGTAAACATTTTTGTAACAATTAATTTTTAAATTATTTTAACAATTTAATTAAATAATATACACTAATTTAACAACACAATAAATCAATTAACACTAAAATCTAAAACAACTATAACAAGAAATATAATAAAACACAAGAAAGTATGAACATCAATTTACCATAATTGTTACACAAATATAATAACAATTAATTTAAGTTTAAACTTTAAACCATATGAAATACATTAAAATTATAATTGTTCCGCTGTAGTAGTTCACCACAAATCATGTAACCGATCTGTTACTGTAGATGAAGGTTTGCAATCAAACCTTCTAAGCCAGACCACACCACAAAGAGAGAGAAAGAGAAAACCTGGGTGGGAAGTCTGGAACGATGAAGGAGGAGTAGTGGAGTGACCGAGTGAGGTGTGAGGCACAGACGCTCTTGAGACTCGATAGATTAGGGTTTTTTAAGTTTATATATATATATATATATATATTAAAAAATTATTGCGAGTAAGGTAAGGTAGGAATGCGAAAATGGATGACTATTCCGCATTCCTACCCGAAAATTGTCAAAAGACCAAAAACTCTTCCACATCCCTACCCGATTTTTGTGGCTAGTCGTTCAATAGGGTAGGATAGAGTCGGGTAGGATAAGAACTTGCGACTTATCGAAAATTTGAACACCTCCGAGTTCTTCTAATGTTTATGTGTAATTGGATTATAAATGATGTGTAAAGACACTTAGTTTAATAGGTGAATCCAATTATATGATCCAAACGGGGCAAACCCATTACGATTTAACCTATGCATGACTACTTCGTGGATATTTGGTGTCATGTGGATGGGGCTTGTGAAGAGTTCCAACCCTAAAAGACAAGAGAGAGAGAGTTGTATTACGCGAGCATTGAACTAATTTAGTCAACAAATCCTAATATTCGAACTTACACACCCTAATAGTTAGAGAGATCAAAGTTTATGCCCCATAAAAAAAAGTCATATCCTCTAGGTTTTTTTCTACATAGCATATGTGAAAGGCGATCTTAACTTGTTAACCATTCAAATGCAATTCTTAACTTTAATCAAAATTACACTCGTGAGAATATAACCTTCTTAGTCTCTTAACTAGCAACAGAATCGTCACGGATTTAAGTCTTATAAAAGACATCTCTAGAAGCAAAGTTCAATTCATAAGCCTAAGAAGAAATGAGTTTCAAACTTGCAATCACGTACGAGCGATCATTCAACCCTAGGAAATGATGAAGTCCATTAAAAAAAAACAGCGGGCACACATGTCAGGCTTGCATTTATTTCACTGTCTTGGTGCTTCACGTTTGTCCTCTATGTTTTCCAATGTTGTGGCTGAGTAGTACACGTCATCACAAGTTGATTGCTGATCTAAAACAGGTGGTTCACACAAATAGGAGTTCAATGTTTGATTGTGAGATGACATGGTGAAAATAACTTGCATAAGGTTTCCCAAGGGACAAGGTAAGTTGAGAAGATGTAGGGCAGAGAGAGAGAGAGAGAGATTGATTTCACAACTTGTATTTTATTTTTTAAAATAAGCAATCAGTGACCACCCAAATCAATTCTTATTTAAATAATTTCTCAATCATGCAAATTTTTGCCATGTCAAATAAATAATAAGGCAATCTTTGGACTAACAAAATCTCTAAATATGAGAACAATATCAATTCAGTTTCTGAGTAATGTACATAAAAAATAATTATAATTTATATTAATGGGAAAAATTTGTTGTTGATCATGAATTTTTTGGAGAAATTTGCAAGAAAAACATAAAGATATAACTGCATATCTACTAAGTCACAGCTAATGGTTTGCATACCTTGTTCATGGAGATTGACTCCCTCTTGTTTATTACAAGAAAATATTATTTGGACTTAATTTTTTAATGTTATTTGTTAACTTAATAAATCACAATTATTGAATTAGTATCAAATTCTAGTTAATGCTATTTGCTGACGATTTATTAGTTGAGATACTTTTTTAAAAGATTCTCTATATATAACTAACACTCTTAACGGGTTTGGGTTTAAGCTCACACCGGAGCATTCTTTATAATGTTGGCTTGAACCATTTATTATTTATTAGTCATAATTGGGGGTTTATCCCATTTATGAGGCTTGTAAGGCTTAAAGGTCGAACCTTAAACATATATGTCATTAAGTCTTATATTAATAATCTTATTTGGTAGGTAAGTTCTTTCTAAGTTTTTTTTTTTAATTTTTAATTACTAAGACACTGTAAACAGATTATTTTAACATTAAAAGGAGTTTTCAAATTAATTTGGAGATTATAATTCCATAACTGATGACAGTTTCTATAAGCGCTTCAAAGTTTTCAACTTGGCAATACACTCGGATGGATATACTCTTATAACATTCGAGTTGCTGAAGGTTGAAACTGGGCAAAATTGCATCTTTCAATAAAGAGAATCATTTTAGTAGAGTAAATTTCTTTACGTGGCAGACATAACATAAAACTTTTATGGGCAACCATGAAGTTTTTGCAGAAATATTTACAGCATGAAGTCTTCCAAACAACAACAAAAATATGCACAATAAACTGCCTCCAATAGAACCATATAAATTGAAGAAATGTGTTATAATTTCTTGTTCAAACCATTTTATTTCGAACTTTTGCAGGAAGCACCATGTGGACAAACACAAGTACAAGCAATGGTTTTAAAAAATATGGGGGACAGAGGTAGAAATTGACACTGGTGAATGGTCGGATCCAGCACAAAATTCTACATTAAAATATTGTACTGCATGAACAACCACCCCTAGATTGACAGAGAACAAACCAATTTCCTTACCTGTTCTGTGTCATCAAGAATCAAAACAGCACTTTCTTGCCCCAGCACCACATCAAGACGCTTTTGATGTCTTTGAGTGGAATCACTTTGTGAAATCACTCTGGAATTGAAGTACACATTTCCAGGATCAAGCAGCTTTGCCATTTCCAGTGCATAGGCTCGCTCACCATGGGTATATATGTACATTTCAAACAAGTTACTTGCTTCTTTCAGGAAAGTGCGAACAAATGGCCTCAACTTGGTCAACATGCGCATGTACTCCAGTTTGAATAGGCTGCCTTTTGAAACATCTGTCCATGATATACACCGAGTCACATAAAATTACAAGTGCCAATTTAAGCTACGAAATTGGAAGGGATGGCAAACATGATCGCTGAGGAAACGAGAATAACAGTAACCCTTGATACAAACATTCCGAAGAATAAAATTTACACCAGGGATTAACAGCAACACTTAGAATAGATACAAATCCATCAAAAATAGAGGCAACACTACCAAGGGGAAGCCCGGCAACCTATTAACCAATATTACCTTGTAGAGAATCTGTCTGGGTCATTAAATAATCTTCACCTGGTGTTATATCCAATAGCCGAGCTGAATTAAGAAGTGTGTGGTCCAAATCCAGAACCAAGTACAATTTTTTATGACTTAATAAATGCTTCAAGTCTTTGTCACGTAATCGAGCAACTTCATCATTAGCAAGCCTCAGATCCTGCAAGAAAAAAACCAATTCAGTCTAAATTAACAAACGATCAGCTAATAAGAATATCATCACTTGCCATGGTAGCTATATTAAGCACATCCTTTGAATGTTTTACGCCATGTCAATTTCTAAGCTGAATCTCACTGTAAATTTTCATTACAATTTGTCTGAGGGGAAAATTAATAATTTGTGCAGAACAAACAGCTCAAGTACAAACTCTCTAATCATACTGAATTGAAAGAGAAAATCCAATAATAACTTTCAAATGATGAGGGTGAAAGAGGGAAATGTACACATCCAACCAAAATAACAATTTCACCAACTGAATCTAAGAAATTGCAAGAAAGTAACCTTATGGATATACCCAAATGCGACTCCAGACTCATCATTTATCTTTTGCCCGCATCGTATGCACATTCCTCTAATATCACCTGGATGCATACATACATCCTTCTTTACAGACATTTCTGCACACGATAAATTAAAAAAATAATAACTTCCAGCTAAAACTGAAGCTCTACATGAAATTGAGCTCAGATGGTTCACACGCAAGGATAAAATACCAAGTGATTTTGAGGCTTCAGAACAACTAAGTTCTCAAAAGATACCAAAGTATATTTTGGAAAGCAAACAAAGCTTTGCAGCAACATTGAAACTACAACTAATAAAAGGAGAAGCAAGAAATAGAACTACATAAAGACGGNGCAAGGATAAAATACCAAGTGATTTTGAGGTTTCGGAACAACTAAGTTCTCAAAAGATACCAAAGTATATTTTGGAAAGCAAACAAAGCTTTGCAGCCACATTGAAACTACAACTAATAAAAGGAGAAGCAAGAAATAGAACTACATAAAGACGGACATTGATGCATACATATGAAAGTGACCACAAAGAATCAAACTACAGTGAACCCAGAACACCCTATTTAATAAAAAGCATTGCGTCTTTGACACTTCAAACCATAATTCAAGTCACTCTATGTATTTGAATAGGTACAAGGCATACCTTTATTCGTCAACATGGAAAGTTAATTGCAATGGTGGATAATTACCATAGCTTATGGAAAAAGGAACTAGAAAAATCACCTAAAATTTGTGTTGGTTCTACATGTGATGTTGAACCATCAGAATCTGGTACACTTTCCAACACCTCCACCTTATGCCTTTTAATCCTGCAACACATTTAACTTTGAAAAATAAAATCTCAATTGTGGCAGTAGGATTATACCTAACAAATATATAGAACATAATGAGTACCAGCTCTAGCATGGCAAACTTTATAATTAATAGGAAACTCAAGTGGTACCTCTCAAGATCTGAGTCATAATCATTAACATCATCTTCTTCTTCTTCTTCCGGTGACATGTCTGAAGGAGAACCTAATTCTGTGTCCAAAAATGCAGCAAAGTCGTCACTGCTCGAAGAATGTACTGGAGAATCTGTGATGAGACTCATCTGAAATTCCCTTCATGAAATTTGAAAGATATATCAAATAAAAAATTCTAAATACAATTAATGTTCATGCACAAACAGCCACATAGATTTGTTCTCTAGTGTGTACCGAAATGGTCTCACGAAGTCGGTCCCTAGATGGTGTAAGTCCTTTTCTAGTTTGTAGAATAGCAAACTAGACTTCCCACAATAAAGGAGAGAAAGTAATTAAATAGAAGAAAATTTTCACTAAGAAAACAGTCTACGCAAGTTGAGCTTATGTGATAGAATCTCTCTAGCCTCCCCGCCTCTACATATCTAAGAATTGACATTCCCCTATACAGAGCCAACATTTCTGTTTAGTAAGGCATGGTAAGGTTTCAATTAGTTGTCAAATGGGGTTCCCCCTAATAGGTATAGTAAGCCACGTTGTACCCGTACCGTTTTCGCTAAAAAGGCACCCCAAATGAAGGCACGTTGCAATTTAAGTATCGCCAGCCACACAATCAATAACAACAAGAAAGTATTTTTCATGAAACTTTTTGAGAGTTCAAATCTTTAAAACAAACAAGGAATAGCAATAAATCAACAATGGTAGAAACCCTAATTTTAGGGTCTCACCCATAATCACTCATGTTGAGTTCAACAAAGCAAAATCAGGACTCTAACATTGGAATTAGGTTAAGGTGTGTTTAAAATATGAACTACATTATCAAACAATAGCACAACCCTATAGATGTTGCGAACACGAAATTAGAGAAATTCATCGGTTAATATTGGAGCAAATACTTTAAGAGCTTGTATAAAGAACATCATTATTGGAGAAACTAATTTCTGTCACCATACAATTTTAGACTCAAATATTCAAATCAATTAGGTGAAATTGAATACATGATTGCTATTCTATTTCCTTATGATACTAAGAAAATTTCTGTCAAATCTTGAGGAGAGAGATGAGAGATGAGAGAATTTACCTAGGTTGACGACGAAGGGGAGACGCTGGAGGGTCATGTGCAACTGCAAGCGAGAGATGATTTAAAATCGTGCCTTGCGCGGGGAGGGGGAGAGAGAGAGAGAGACGCTGAGAATGTGAGAGAGAATTGAGTCTATTTTTAAGGGTAAGAAGTTTGATTTTTATATAGTGTATCTATTGCATCCGAATTTATGTGAATCTTCCAATTCACACAGTTTGATAAAACGAACGAGTCGGATGGATTTCTTTTACCTTCCAAATTGTAAACCCAGTTCGGTAATAGAATCAATTCTTAGGTAGACATGTTTAGTTGCATAGTTTTAAAACTCGACCCAGACATCAATCCAAGAAAGTGACCGGATTAATGGGACACTAGTCGAACCGATAATATAATTAAAAAATAATTATTAATGATAATAAATAGCCTACAAATTTATAATAATTATGGAAATAACATGTTTAATGCGAGATATACATTGCACCACGTGTTTAAGATGAAAAAATAATCAATCCTCTAACCTTGTGGCCAAACAATCAGTGACAACAAACTACTGTTACTGGCTAAGTCAAATTCAAAGGGGACTCGCAGCAAATTACACACTATGCAATGTTACCACATCTAAAGCCACACTGGTCTAATCCGTACACATTCAAGACATCAAGGAGTTGTTGCAAAAGCATCAAAACTGGAGCATAACTCACCCACAGAAACTCTCCCCATAGTCTCACTAAAGAAAATGACACTCGCAGTAAATGAATGTGTGCTCACGGATACGGGACTCAACTCAACAGAAGATCACACCTATCACGGGTCTCAATAATTTAGGTCTATTATTAGTTCATTAGCTAATGCCTATGCCTTAAAGCATTGTATACCAACACAAAAATCAATAATTAGAAAAAAAAATAAGCATTACTAAGAAAAAAAACAGCACACATTTAAGAGACTGAATAAGTTTCTGAGGCCAGTAAATCTAAAAAANTAATAATTAGAAAAAAAAATAAGCATTACTAACAAAGAAAACAGCACACATTTAAGAGACTGAATAAGTTTCTGAGGCCAGTAAATCTAAAAAAAATGAGCAAAGTTCACTTAAAACAGGACCCCCAAAAATTTCAACATGTATACACTGTTTATATAACTTAATGGCGCACCTTAAAAGGCGAATCATTGACTGCCACTTCTTAAAGTTCCCAAAAAACATTTCCAAATGCAATAACCACAAATAAAATATATCAAAATATGATAATAGTACTTGTTACAACATAATTGTAAACTCACAAATAAAGAGGGGTCAGTTACTCAATAATGTTTGATTGATAAAGAATTAAAAAGTCAAATTCTGAAACATAAAGTACCAGTTTTTTTAAGGAAGGAGTACTTATTCTTTTGTGCAAGCATATATAAATCTGANTAGTCAAATTCTGAAACATAAAGGACCAGTTTTTTTAAGGAAGGAGTACTTATTCTTTTGTGCAAGCATATATAAATCTGAAACAACTATGTCACCTCTCGAAGCTCATTGAAGTTAATACAACATTTTGAGTGAACAAAAAGATGACTAAAATACCGAATTAGCAAATTGTTAATTCTCATGGCTGGTTGTTATTGTTAATCTAAACTAATTAACTTTTGGCGGTAAGTAGTGTTGAAGCAAGGTTTTCAAACAGATAAAAACATCAAGCAGTATCCAATGCCTAGAATACTCAATAATTAGAATGAAGCAACAAAAGTGATTTTTATTTCCCAATTTTTAAAGTGATGCAACATTGATTTTCAATACTAAAAACAATTAAAATCTTCACAAATATTCTAATGATCAATCCCTCTATATGACCCTTCAATCCTCTAACAAAAAAAGATAATCTATTCAATTCAACACATCAATATTCCAAGATCACATGCAAATTACCCCAAAAAAATCTACCCAATACAAAAGTGAACTTTTCAAACAACTAAAGATTAAGAACTCTTACAACACTCCTAAAATCCAAACCAAACATAAAATCATGAACAAACCCAAAAAAATCAATGGATGCTTTGATAGATATGAGTAATAGTAAATAACCAGAATAANCATTATTTGAACTAAAGATTAAGAACTCTTACAACACTCCTAAAATCCAAACCAAACATAAAATCATGAACAAACCCAAAAAAATCAATGGATGCTTTGATAGATATGAGTAATAGTAAATAACCAGAATAATCCTGGCCTTGATATGAGAACTTTTCTTCTTAGTTGATCTTCCTCTCTTCAATCCAATGGCTACACCAAACACAAATCAGGAAATACAAGTTAAGAAGACTATGCTAAATCAGGGGATAAGAATCATATGCAGAATTCAACAAAGATAAAAAAATNCTTTTCACACATCCTTTCCAAAATCTTAGTAAGCCAACATATCCAACCAAGAGAAAGTATATCCCTGTTTTTCTATTTCGCAATCCAATGTGCAATCTTATTATTTTTTTTATTCACATATTGTATTTCAATCTTAAGAATCAAATGTATGTATTCTCAAATATCCCTCAGGATAGCCTCAATCTCCCTCAAAAACCAAATATTACCATTATTCAAAGCATCAACACATGCTTTGGAGTTTGACTCCACTATTAGTGAAAGATACCCTACAACTATGGCTATACAGCAAGCTTGTCTAATGNATTTGAAATTCAATAAAATCATTAAGCTCACTTAAGTTCAAGAGACCAATAAACACAGTACAAAGGAATCAGAATTTTCTTTTCCACTCACCCTATCAATAAATAAAGCAACAACTCACAACTATGCAAACTGCAAATACACCCATATTTACAAACGGTTGCTCAATTGCAAGGGCATCAACAAACATACTACATATAAAAATTCCCAACCAAGGAAACAAATTTTAGATTGATTAGATCAAGTAAAGAGCAAAAATTAGACCCTATATAAATGGAAGCGGAACGTATAAGGAAAAAAAGAATAACATGGTATATTGAAAGGGCAAATTTGCTAGAGAATTGTTGTGCTCATCTCCAGAACAGTGACTTTTCCATGCTCAGTTTGATTTTTAAAAAAAACTTGATACACATCAAATAGACAAAAATTCAAAAAATCAATCAAATTCTCATCCATAAGAAACTCTTCATACAGGAAATCCAATGAATGCCAAAAGTGGGATGACTATTTCCCAAATCATATCAATGTAAAACTCCTCTTGCCACTAAACACAATTTAAAAATGGTTATTTTGCTTTTATTAGATCATACATGCACTAACCAACTAAGATTTGTTAGCACAACATCAAACACCATCATACCTGTGATTGGATAGAGAAGGTAACCAGGGGCAGCAGAATGTAGATACCAATAGGATAACGCCTTTTCTAATACTAAAACCCAAGAAATTAGATTCAACTTTTGGAGTTCATTTAGGGGTTGATAGGTATACAATTATGAGGGAATCAAACAAACTTGACCACTTTACTTTACCCACACAATCACAGCCGCATAAATCTCACCAAAATTCTAAGAGAAGTAAAAACTGTAATGCACACTCATAAAGGTACAAACAAATAGTCAAAAGTTCAATTAGCCAAACTGTCTTCCCAGGATAACCACCCTTAGCATGATGGTTCTTGCTGTGCATCACGACGGATTTTCTCACACCCGACTGGTGGTAGTACTGCGGCCTTGGTGGTATTGTGGTAACAGTCTATGTGCGCTTACAAAGAGAGGAGAGAGAGCGCGAAAGGCGTGAGCGAATTACTTGTGGTGGTGGTGGTGGTGGCTGCCGCGTGTCTTTGAAAATTTCGTCAAACACGTGGAGACTGGTGAGTAGTGGAGGAGGCAGGATACATGGCGGTGGATGTTAATTGGTGGCGCTGGGCAGGTCTGTGTATATGAAAAGCAGAAAGAGAGACGAGAGATGGTGGTTGTTAGGCTGTGGTTGAGAGAGGGAGGGAGAGGAGCATAGAGAGGGAGAGAGAGAAAGTTACCTGGGCGAGAGAGGCGCCGGGTGCCACTGGGCTTGGCGGGTAAGGCGACGTTGACAGCGTGGCTACTGCTTGAGGAGAGGGAAAGCTAGGGTTTGTGAAACAGGGATTAAGGAGGACAGGCGCAGTTGGTGTTGAGAAGAGAGATCTGGCGTGACTGGGGTTGGGGCGTTAATTTGAGGAGAGAGAGGAGACGCGGGTAAAGGGAAATAACGCCGGTGCTGTGGCGCTGGCGGGGTTATATTCGGGGGGAAACTAAAACGACGTCGTTTCAGATAAATAGAACCAAACGAAACTCAATTGCATTGTCTTTTTTTTTTTTTTTTTTTTTGTCAATCAAATTATATTTCTATTATTTGAAAAGAATGAAGTTTACAAGAATCAAAACAATTACAAACTATTTTAACAGAAAAACACATATCAAAAGAAAGCACCCTACAGTAAAATAAAACACAGGGCCAAAATCATCCTACTCTCTTACGTGCTTCCTTTTCACACATCCTTTCCAAAATCTTAGTAAGCCAACATATCCAACCAAGAGAAAGTATATCCCTGTTTTTCTATTTCGCAATCCAATGTGCAATCTTATTATTTTTTTTTACTCACATATTGTATTTCAATCTTAAGAATCAAATGTATGTATTCTCAAATATCCCTCAGGATAGCCTCAATCTCCCTCAAAAACCAAATATTACCATTATTCAAAGCATCAACACATGCTTTGGAGTTTGACTCCACTATTAGTGAAAGATACCCTACAACTATGGCTATACAGCAAGCTTGTCTAATGGTGCACGCTTCCACTATTATGGTTGAGTTTGCAGCAAGCTTACTTGCACTTCTCTGCATTAAGATTCCTTCACTATCTCTAAAAATTACTCCAAAGGCCCCTCTTTTCTGATCCTACAACCAAGCCCCATCACAATTAACTTTTACCCAACCCTTTGGCGGAGCTTTCCATACATCTACTTTACTCTCTTTCTTCTTACCATTATCATGCTCATTCATAACATAGCTCCATCATTCCTTAATGGCAAAGACAATTTGGCTTATCACTCATCTGGGCAAAATCTGAACCCGATTATATACTCAGTTATTTCTGCATTTCCATAAAGCCCACAACAGTGAAGCTACTAGTGTCTGATGATACGATCCTTCCTCACCTTTACACTGTTATTTCAGCACCTCCAAAACCCACTTTTCAAATCTTATTATCTTTTGTTTATCAATAAGTATCTTTAGAGGAGAGTCTTTCCAAACTTCTCCAACCCAGGAACAAAGTGAAAAAACATGTTCTATAGTCTCCTCCATCTCCCCACAAATAGGACATAAGGGAGATTTCAAAAATTTTCTTCTCCAAAGATTCCAATTAGTAGCTAGGGCATTTGACATTGCTCTCCGCACAAACAATTTAATTTTTGGCAGGGCACTGATTTTCCAAACAGCCTTTCATAATTCCTAGTGTCTGATGATACGATCCTTCCTCACCTTTACACTGTTATTTCAGCACCTCCAAAACCCACTCTTCAAATCTTATTATCTTCTGTTTATCAATAAGTATCTTTAGAGGAGAATCTTTCCAAACTTCTCCAACCCAGGAACAAAGTGAAAAAACATGTTCTATAGTCTCCTCCATCTCCCCACAAATAGGACATAAGGGAGATTTCAAAAATTTTCTTCTCCAAAGATTCCAATTAGTAGCTAGGGCATTTGACATTGCTCTCCGCACAAACAATTTAATTTTTGGCAGGGCATTGATTTTCCAAACAGCCTTTCATAATTCCTAGTGTCTGATGATACGATCCTTCCTCACCTTTACACTGTTATTTCAGCACCTCCAAAACCCACTCTTCAAATCTTATTATCTTCTGTTTATCAATAAGTATCTTTAGAGGAGAATCTTTCCAAACTTCTCCAACCCAGGAACAAAGTGAAAAAACATGTTCTATAGTCTCCTCCATCTCCCCACAAATAGGACATAAGGGAGATTTCAAAAATTTTCTTCTCCAAAGATTCCAATTAGTAGCTAGGGCATTTGACATTGCTCTCCACACAAACAATTTGATTTTTGGCAGAGCACTAATTTTCCAAACAGCCTTTCATAATTCCCCTGGGATCATATAAGAGGAAGAAACAGAAGCCTATCCTTCATTAAGGGGGATAGTCGAAGTCTTCACTGTATACTGCTCATTCATAGTACCACTCTATCTAGCCTTATTATCTTGCTGGGTAAAACTAATAGATAAAGTTAAAATGATTTATAAAACAATAGGAGAGAAGAGAAACTTAATCTAGAATCAAATTCTTCACCCAGATAAAATGAATATGGTTTACATTGTCAATGACCAAAAAAAAGAATTTACGTTGTCAATGATGATGTCAGCGTACAATTAATTCTCTTTGATTATTGTATAATTGAACCGAATATCTCTGACCGATAAACATAAAGAATAAAATAATCACAATTTATATGTATAATATAAGTATATAAAATGAACATAAATATTTATAANCTTTACATTGTCAATGACCAAAAAAAAGAATTTACGTTGTCAATGATGATGTCATCGTACAATTAATTCTCTTTGATTATTGTATAATTGAACCGAATATCTCTGACCGATAAACATAAAGAATAAAATAATCACAATTTATATGTATAATATAAGTACATAAAATGAACATAAATATTTATAATTTTTTTTTAAATTCTATGTGAATGTCAAATGAAATTCATTTAAATCGTCAAATTTGTTGAAAATTTTTTATTCGATACAAAGAATTAAATCAAGCTAATATTTGACAAATAATATTTGAATTTCAAATTAATTTGATAAACTAAATGTTCAACTTCATCATATATTAATATTCATATAATATAANCATAAAATGAACATAAATATTTATAAATTTTTTTTTAAATTCTATGTGAATGTCAAATGAAATTCATTTAAATCATCAAATTTGTTGAAAATTTTTTATTCGATACAAAGAATTAAATCAAGCTAATATTTGAATTTCAACTTAATTTGATAAACTAAATGTTCAACTTCATCATATATTAATATTCATATAATATAATAATTATAATTGGAACAGGGCCACAATTAGATCGAATATTAATATAAATAAAATTGTGTCTATAAAATCTATATAATAAAGTAGTTTACAATTCAAATCTCAAAAGATAAACAAAATGACTTAATTTATTCGCGGTTGAGATCGCTTTAAATTTTATTTTAAAGTTAATCTAACGGTTAATATTAACATCCTAAATTTAATAGCAAAATAAGACCCTAAGGGTGTGTTTGGAGTAAATTTTTAAAAGTATTTATACAAATTATTTTTTTAAAAAAATAATGTTTGAAATCGCCCCACCATTACCTCTACCACCACCACCCCCACCACCATTGCTGCCATCACTATTACCGCCACCATCGTCGTTATCGCCACCATCACCGTTACCACTGCTACCACGGTTATTGCCACCCACCACAACCATCATCATCTTCTATCATCACCATTGTCGCCCACTACTTCAAATCCCCACTATAAACTAGTGCTTAAATTATTTATCTCTTTTTTATATTTATAATTTAATTTTGAATATAAATACAAATATGTTTATTATTTACTATTTTTTATTATTTTGTGTCTTCGTGCACAATAAATAATTAGTACTAAATAAGACAAGGGAATTTAGATTANTACTACTTCAAATCCCCACTATAAACTAGTGCTTAAATTATTTATCTTTTTTTTATATTTATAATTTAATTTTGAATATAAATACAAATATGTTTATTATTTATTATTTTTTATTATTCTGTGTCTTCGTGCACAATAAATAATTAGTACTAAATAAGACAAGGGAATTTAGATTACACCCAGAACTATCAATTCTGACTAAATCAACTAAGCTTCGAAATAAATTTTGATAGGCTAGTCGTAGCAAAAGATAAAAGAAAAAGAAAAACAGAATAAATTCACACAAAACTAGTGGAACAACACAACATGCAACTTGACGACAAACAGTGTTATACAGGGTTGGTGGCACTCCCACAAATTCTATCAGAGAGAGAGAGAGAGAGAGAGAGAGAGACTACTATAAAGGCCGGGGTACAAAGTCCGTGTATGGACCGCTTTCGTAGTTGTCTTCCCTTACCTTATTCTGTGGTTCACACTTTCCATCGCAGAGAAAAGGGTAAGGGGTATATCCTTTAACCCCTTATCTTGCAAGCGGGGGAGGGGGAGAGGGGGTCTCTTGAATTGGAATTTTGCAGTTCCTGCTCACTATGGCTTGCAGACTTGCAGATTCTAGTTTCCTTTTCATGGTAACATTTATTTCTCTCTCTCTCTCTCTCAGTTGGGCTATTCAGTACTTACAGTTTACGCGTGTCGTATGTGCTGTTTGATTTTCAGAGACCCCAACAAAGGCCAATTCAGAGCCATAGAGTTGCCCCACTTAGTCCTCCAGGTATGTGTCTCTCTCTCTCTCTAAATTGGCTTACTGGTTCGAATTGGAATGTGGGTTCTCTTTATTTGGTCCAATTGTTCGTATTCTCAGCTTTCAGAGAGAATGTAACCGTGGAATGGCAATCAAATGTTGCTTGTGTCAGAAGCCAGAACGACTGGTTTTGGTTGATAGTTGGTAGCTATTGATACTTTTAGTTGACTTTACATAGAACACACTTCATAGCATACATCAATATCAAGACTTGGGTTTCGTTGTGATTCTCCAAGATTTGAGTCTTGATATCAAGGAACCTAGTTCTAGCATAAAATTTGAATTTTCTTATGGTCTAAAGTTAAAAAAGGGGGTGGAATTCAGTGGAATGTTGATTGCTATAATATACAACAATTAAGACTATGAGCTGTTAGCCTAATACAAAAAGAAATAATAAAATCAGTTTCCTGATACATTTTGTCCAGATCACAAGACAGTTCAAAATAAAACAGAAAAATGTAGAACGCAGAATGCCATGCTGGAAGGTTTTAATGTTATGCGATTCAGCTTGAAAGCCTACAGCTACAGATGGAATATACCTTGGCAGGCAAAAGAACACTATATACGATGGACATTATAGTTTTTTTTTGGTCTTTTGGGGGGGGGAGGGTATTTCACCTTGCAACGAACTGACAACATATATATGACAAAAAAACTAGTTTCCTGATTGGATCAATTTTCGGAAATGGGGTTTCCTATCAGCACAACAGCTCTGCTATGGGGTTAAGGCTCATGAACTTTCCCAATTAAAAGCCAAAATGCTTGGCTGGTGTGATTGAAGTACAATTCAGATATCCAAAGCAATATTTTCATTATTCACGTTTCAAGATTAAATTTAGAGTTATGATCAACATCAAGTGATTGGATTGATGCATTCTCATCTCAACCATGAGAAGGAAAAATGTTGCTGCTTCAAACCTTTTAATTAGATTACTTGTTCAATGGTCCTTAGACTTTTTTTGAGTGGATGGCGGTAAACATTTTTATTGTTGAAGAAGGTGTTCTCATTTTCACTAAACTTATACTTCTATGTAAGCTTTTCGAGGCACATGATTTATCTTTTTAGACTATTATATAAAATAACGAAAGAACCACAGGTTGAGACTATTTACCGCCTGTCTAACTATAGTCCAGCGTAGTTCTCTTCACATATCAAGCTTTGGACATTGCTCTATGTCTGATTTATGGGCTACATACACCTACTCATGGGTGAACTTATAATTACCTACATCATTATAGAAGACACATGAAGCTTTGGTCTTTTCATACAGACATTGCATACAGATTGTTGATGAATTCATCTCGATACCTTATGATGCTTACTATGATAGACAGGCACTTATTATCTGACTTGGAAAAGTCTGCCGCAGAAGAGAATCAAACTCCAAAAGTGTTCAAAATCCTTGAGAAGTCCTATGGTTGTACAAGCTGTGGCAATTCCAGTTGCACCAGCTCCACCCAGCAGTGCAGAGCATAGGAAACAATTAACTGAAAGCTATGGTTTTAGGCAAATTGGAGAACCACTTCCAGATAATGTTATACTGAAGGATATTATTGACACCCTCCCAAAAAAGGTAGTTACACTTACCAGAGGCACTGAATTCTTGCACTCAAATTTTGTGGGACTACTTGATCAAGCTTATTTTGTGATTTCATAGTCGTTCTCCAATAAACAGTCAGAAAAGATATAAACTGTGACCTAGTTATGAGTCATGGCAAAACTCTGTGAGTGGTCATTGTGATGACACACACATGGTGATGGGAATACAAAGTGACAGCAGTACACAAGGAATGTGTGATAGAGATACCTAACTTCACTGAATGTGTGATTCCCACATTTTCTGCGTATGGAACTGTGAGTGCCTATACTAATCCCACGTGTTGATTTGATATATGACTCTGAACAATAGCTACATTGCCAAATTAGGCAGTGACTGCCTTGAGCAGTTTACCAATTATTTACCTAAGTAGAGCTTGATACTGACATTGCTGTGTTTTTTTCCTTCTTCTCAACTAACTTTTTCTGGCTAGTGAGACTGTACTACTTGACAAAAAGACTAGGCAAAATATCTTATCAAATTAATGCTTGAATCTGATGAGTCTTCACTTCTGGATACTGTAAAGACTTCTCATGGGACACTCTGCTGAACTGAAAGATGTTTCCCTTATGCTATCCTTATTAAATTTTGCTATCTTCAAAATTGTACTGCACAAAATGACAGAAAATGGCTGGGAAGAGGAACTATATCTGAATTTCACTATGTAACTATGGTTATACAAGTGTCTTCAAGCAAATTTCAAGCTCTTATGAGAAAACCATTATTTAAGTCTTTGAGGTGTATTTAATGCCCTTTTCCCTTGTAAAATCTTATCTTAAGGTTTTTGAGATTGATGATATGAAAGCATGGAAGTCAGTTCTGATATCTGTCACTTCATATACACTGGGCCTCTTCATGATCTCCAAAGCGCCATGGTATCTACTTCCTCTGGCTTGGGTATGGACGGGGACTGCAATCACAGGGGTTAGTTCTGTATCATTCTTGTTTTTATGACTTATTGCTTGCCTATACCCTTGAATTTCCTCTCTTTTTTTTCACAAGCTTTTCACCCAGCCATCTCTTTTCATTTGGTGTATTTTTCCTTTCCCCCCATGGTTTAGTTTTTCGTCATAGGCCATGATTGTGCACACAAATCATTCGCAAGGAACAAATTTGTGGAAGACATTGTTGGAACTCTGGCATTTTTGCCATTGATATATCCGTATGAGCCATGGCGTTTTAAGCATGATCGGCATCACGCAAGAACAAACATGTATGTGTCATATTCCTATTAGTTTGGTATGAGATTATGCTATGATTTTTAGACATCATGGGTGATTATTGACCACTATCTGAAAAGATTTGGTGTTAGACATGAGATTTACTTCAGATATCATATGAATTTGTACATATATTATATCTTTTTGTTTCCGTGTCCATGCCCTGCTTTTTAAAGATTTTTTGTACTACCATGTCCATGATTCCATGTCCCAAGTTCGTGTCCGTAGTATAGTGGAATATAATATGCATGCCGATCGTAATTCCTTCAAGAAAAACAAGACTGTTGAATGAGTTCTTATCATTTTGTTCCAAGGAATTGGTTGATTCCCTTTGGTTCATATTTTCCTCAAAAACGTCACTTTCTCATTCATCCTAATTCCAGGTTGAATGAAGATACAGCCTGGCACCCAATTTGGAAAGAGGACTTCGATTCATCCCCAGTACTGCGAAAGACAATTATATATGGATATGGCCCTTTTCGAACTTGGATGTCTATAGCTCACTGGTATTATTCGATGAACGAATAACTACTGTATGCAAAAATACAGTGTTTATTTTCTTTTTTGATAATAACAATCATTAGTAGTGGCTTTAGTAGTTCAATTTATTGTTTTTCTCTTGATATGTATGGGTCCTAATGTTGTTAACCATCATATTAGGTTGATGTGGCATTTTGATTTGAAGAAGTTCAGACCTAATGAAGTTAAAAGAGTGAAGATAAGCTTGGCTTGTGTATTTGCATTTATGGCAATTGGATGGCCTCTAATTGTCTTCAAGACAGGGATAATGGGATGGATTAAGTTCTGGCTAATGCCGTGGTTGGGTTATCACTTTTGGGTAATACAAATTTCTCCTCTCTTCTTGGCATTTTACATGCAATAGGAACATACATTCTCTGCATTTTACTTGTTTTGTATTAAGAAAATGTAAGTTAGTAATGAAGTGGACCATTGATTCTGGCCAACTAGAATTGCCTTCTGATGTGGTCCCTCCATCTTTTAGATCAAGGAATTGGAGGATACCATACCCCTTTATGTCATTGATGCGGAAACATCAAACAATGCTCTACTTGGGCGGCCTTGGATGCAGTATAATTGTGTCGTCCCTTCTACTTATCACTAATGTTTCAGTATTCTCCAAGTTCTATCCGCCTTTTTTCATTACATTTTTAGTATTTTGATTGCACTTCATTAAACAAATGATGCCTCCTTTGTTGATTTTGTGACTGCTGCGGATAATCTGGTTCACTTTTTAGTGAATTTCTGGTTATCTCTATAGAGAAGTTTATGGTTAGAAGGGCAACTGAATGGTTCCAAGTTGGTTAAGAGAGCTATCTCATCACATCGAAAAATTAAGTAGACCCAAGGTTGGTTTATATACTTGGTGGGTTACTCCACCCATACCAATTGGCTTTAGGNCAAGTTTGTTAAGAGAGCTATCTCATCACATCGAAAAATTAAGTAGACCCAAGGTTGGTTTATATACTTGGTGGGTTACTCCACCCATACCAATTGGCTTTAGGTTGGATGTTCTAACGTTGTATTAGAGTTGGGCCTTGGGTGATTAATGAGTTAAGTCTCTCACTTGATTGAATTCTCTGNTATACTTGGTGGGTTACTCCACCCATACCAATTGGCTTTAGGTTGGATGTTCTAACGTTGTATTAGAGTTGGGCCTTGGGTGATTAATGAGTTAAGTCTCTCACTTGATTGAATTCTCTGATCTGTTTATTGTTTCAGTTTAGTTCCAGTTTTTTTGTTTCAGTTCAGTTTGTTAGCCCACATACGAGTATGGGTCGTACGTGAGAGAGGGTGTGATAAGAGCTACCCCACATCAAAAACAAGGTTAGACAATAAAAGGGATGAACTCCAAAAGTTTGGTCCCTGCTGGAAAGGTTCTTCCAATCATTTTTACTTTCAGAATCTGGGTTTGATGGGACACAATTAGGACGCTGTGGCTCTTGCTCGTGCTGAACCAGGATTTCAGAGACAGTGGTATCTCCAAATTTATTTTCGGTAGTTTAGATGGGTGGGGTAAGTGTTGCAACATGTTTTTCTCTCTTGCGACATAATCTTTCCGCGGCAGAACTTGTATTGATATCTTCAAAGCTTCTTTTGAAGTATATACCAGAACCAAACCTGCCAACCTCTTGTTTTGATGGCTGAGTAAGTGATTGAACCAGTTCAATTGCATGCTGAACTGGCCGCCTGCCCAGTTCTTAGAAATAGTAAAATGGAATGAGTTGCAACTTAACCTCAGGATCTGATTCTCACCCTGATCTAGGCATCATGGTGGTTTATCAAAAGATGGGAGTTTGACCCCCTCTTCCTGTACGCCTCCATGTGTATTTGTTCAGATATGCACCATAGGCTGGTTTACCTGTCTGACCGACGAGTCTGGGACCAGTTGTCACTGGTGATAACTAAAAAAAGCAGCTCAGTGTACGAGATTCTTGCCATTGCGGGGTCTGGAGATGATCAGATATATGTTGTCTTATCCCCGCATGTAAGAGATACTGATTCAACGACTCGAACCTTAATGCCCAGGTCACAATTGAGCAACCTTACTGCCATGCAAAGCTCACTCTCACTAGTTGTGATAACTATGCTTGTTAGTTATTATTGTCAATCTCTTGCATGATACTTGTTTCTTTGAATTAGCATCTCTTTTTTGTCCTGGTGTGGAACTGAGTACTGTCTATTGATTAGATTTATAGCTTAATAGTTCAACTCAGGAATTTGTGGTTCATTAACCTTAGAGTTTTGGTTTGCTAAATTTGCAGATGAGTACTTTTACAATGGTTCATCATACAGCACCACACATACCTTTTAAGCATTTGGACGATTGGAATGCAGCTCAGGCCCAGCTTAATGGCACAGTTCATTGTGACTATCCTAGTTGGTAATGAATGTCTTTTACTTAATTGGCTCTTTCCCATGTTAATAAAAAAAACAAAAAAAAACAAAACTGGCTCTTTACTGTTTCCCTGGGTCTTTAAATTATCAATTAAATTGGATGCATTAAATGAGTTGAAGTAGCAAGTATATTAGCTGTGATGAATGAACAGGAGGCCTTCCAACGACGGCACACACACACACACACACACACTCTCTGAGGGAGAAGAACATGGTACTCAAAGGCACTTTCTCGTTGGTTTCAACTTGTCTGTTGGTGACTTTGCCATGGTTGTGAGTTGGGACTTGGGCTCAGTTATGATAGAATTGGAGAGTTATCAGAATTCACTAAATCCTTGATGACCTACGATCTGAGTACATCGATCCCAAACAGGATGGATTCGCAATCCAGATAACTAAAATGTACGATCTCAAATTGTACATGTAGCACAAATATAAAATATATATTAATTAATTCCTTGTATATAGATTTATAATTATATATTATTTTAGGTAATAGAAATCGAACACATATGAAAGATAAATGGTAAATAACTTGGTATTTATGGATGTTCTATGATATATAATGTTGTATAGTGATAAAAACAACCTAGATAAGAGTTTCAAACGAATTACAACCCAAAATACTGTATCAGCTAAATCTACCCTCATTGTACTACGTACCTAAAAAAGTGTTGTACCACATAACCGTACTCGTATCACAGACCAAAGTGACCCACAATCTAGGTAACATTGTATTGGACATAATAGACTTAGGAACATGTTTCCATTATTGGTAAGGTTTCCATTATGTGTATTTCAAGTCTACAGATTGATAATGTCTTCCCTTAGCTCTTAAAATTTTATTAGTTATAGTCGATTCCCATCTATATACCCTTTGTTCTGTTCTTCACAAAAAGTTGATTCTACAAGTGATATTCAAATCATATTTAACTAGTTTGAGAATGGTTTATATTGATTCTTGACAACCATCATCATGCTATCTTAGTGCTTCTTTTGTAAAAATCAATTATTATTCTTTCCAATATATAAGTTTGCTGAATGTCCTCTCTTTCTCCTGGCCAGGATAGAGATCCTCTGTCATGATATCAATGTCCACATCCCTCATCATATTTCACCAAGGATACCAAGCTATAACTTGAGGGCTGCTCATAAGTCTCTTCAAGAGAATTGGGGAAAGGTATGATCATATCGTTGTTCTTATATTCTGTGGCATACCGCGGTATCCANTTGAGGGCTGCTCATAAGTCTCTTCAAGAGAATTGGGGAAAGGTATGATCATATCGTTGTTCTTATATTCTGTGGCATACCGCGGTATCCACCGTAGTGGGTGCATTGTTACACAAGCGAAGTCAAAATCTTTTTCATTTGCTGCGTTTGAATGCACCGAAGTCCACCCTTAAAAATAGCCTCTAAACCCATATTGGTTGGGTCAGTAATTAAACAAGGGGAGTCCCACTAGCCTCACTAAGTCCTGGGTTAAATTAATACACGTCGTTTGCAGGTCTTCCAAGGTTTCCATTACGACGTGAGTCTTGAAAAGTATCATTAATTCGTGAAAAATGTATTCACATCATTATGTCCAAATCCGTCTTTGGATGCTAACTAACTTGCTCTTTCCTTCATTTGATTTCCCATTCTACCAAACAGTATCTGAACGAGGCTACATGGAATTGGAGATTAATGAAGACAATATTGACAATATGCCATGTTTATGATGAGGAGGAAAACTACGTAGCCTTTGACAAACTTGCCCCTGATGAGTCCCAACCCATTACGTTCCTCAAAAAAGTGATGCCTGATTATACTTAATAATCCATTGCTCCTCCTCGAGGGGTCCCACGTCATTTTTGGTTTGTTCTTATCTGTTATTCTTCTTTTTGTCCAATACCATCGGTATGCTTTCCGCTATGTCTAAAAATTTTCTTACTTATGTTTCAAACTACAACAATATTTAAGTGGTTAGAGAAGTTTCATTGAAGGAAGCTTCCTGGTGGTCCACAACCTTTTGCTTCTAGTGGGTTTGGCTTTTCAAGGAAACCCCCCATTTTTTTTCTTTTTTTCGTTTTAATGGTCGGGGTGTTTGGTTCAGTTTATGCACACTTCGATTAATCTGGTTTTCGGTCCAATTAAAGATAAGTTATTCACGCTTAGACTAGGATATTCATGAAGAATAAGTTCTTCATGGTCTGATCATAACAAGTTGACAAAATTCAAACTCAAGACATCTAGATTTACATGTCATCGTCCTTTGGGATTTAAACCCTCCACCCCCCCCCCCAATTTCTTTAATCTTACGTGAAAGCGGTTCAACTTTTCCTCAATTTTCTTTAGTTACTTTCCCTCGTTGTTCCTAGATCATTTTCATCTTGTATTGGTAAAAAAAGTACACTCATACATAGTGGGTTTTGTTTAAATTTCAGGTTAGATTGACTATTTTTCACATTTCTCAACTTGGTTGTATTTAGGGTTAGAAATTCTTAAAAAGACTATTACGATATAAAATTGTCAGGAAGTTTTTATGTGTGAATTTAGCCATCATGGTTTTAGGTCATAGAGAGGTTGGCTGGTCAAACCAATTTGATAAATTAGTCAATACCGATTTAATTATATATGATATGATATGAATTTGACTATATATAATTATGAAAAAATAGATGGTAATAGGATTGAGTAAATTGTGCACAACATAACATCGGTATAATAGGACTCGGTGCTAGCTCTATGCTTCTATCTCTATCAATATATTTACAGATGGATACAAATAAACTGATCAAATAATAGGACCAAACATATAAACTTTTAGGATAGTGTTTGTGGAACCACAGATTTTAAGAGGTTGAAAAAGGAAATAAGGAACAATTTAGCCAATCTTAGCTATCATACAATATTATTATTCTCATTGATAAACATAGTTTAGTCAAACTCTTATGTGTGGTTTAATGGCTAAGCGTGACATCTGATAACAAGAGATTTCAGGTTCAATATTTCTCATACTCCCTAAGGGTTAATCACCCTTATTTTTCAAGTGACTTATTCTAAACCCGTTAGGCCACATTGACCAATATTCGAGTTCGAATGAATAGTTGACACAAGCGTGCCCTAGAGAAAAAAAAATGGAAGCTTAGTCAAACAAACCGTGAGGTCTGAGAGATGGCAATGAACCGAGAAAAAATGGATATTCGTCCAAACCTGTCCTGTTTGGACAGGGGATGTACTATACGTATTGAACTGTAGACATATACGGGAATATCTGTATAAACCCGTACAGAGATAGACTTACCTTTACTCCCGTTCCACCGCTCTCTGCCTCCGATGTACCTGTTATATATATATATATATAATTATATATATGTTCAAAGTTGAAGCTACACCTATGACTATGAGAATGCATGTTAGTCTCCACCAACCTCGATAAGTTCCCCAATTTCTATAGAATCGGCCATATTGTTAATACTGAAACTCACATCCATATTTATTAGTAAATATAAATATTTTTTATGCTATTGTTATAGTTTTTTATGTTTTATTTTTTTATTATATTACAAGTATGAAATTACATGACAGAAAAGTTTTCCCATTACAAATATTCAAGTAGTATTTTTGACATTTGTTATTTGTATTATGTTGAAATATATTATGCTACATTATGTTATGTTAGATTATTTAAAATATTGTTGGATTATTTAAAATGTTGAATATATTTAAAATTTTTGATTATGTTGACTTGAGCTTGGGGGAAGCGGGAACGGGAATTAAAAATTTACCCGCAGATGGGGTTGGGGATGAAAATTATACCTGTTAACGGGGATGGACAGAGTTTTTTTAAGCGAGTATGAGAATAGAAATCACACTTTTCATCCTCCGCTTCAGTCTACTGACATCCCGTCAGAGATATTTACTTTTCAAATCTGTCTTGGAATTTGCAAGCTAGGGTCAAAGTGAATGAATTTTGTTTGTATGTGTGGGGCTCATTAATAGGGATTTGTTCCCTTCTACTATCTGAGTTTGGACTTTATATTTATTGGGGCCTAGGTTGATTATTGCTAAACCTTTGCTTCGATAGCGGAAGTGCTGTCAAATTAGCAGTATAAAATTCAACGAAAACAGAGGAACCCTAAGCTTAGGCCGGCTGATGATCTTATTAATGGCGAATTTGAAAAGGCAAGAGTCAAAATTTGTTGATCCGGGTGACCAGCCTCTCACCTACCAATAAATAATAGGGTACAATACCTCGTTACTGAAGAAATCACAAGTTCAAGCTTTGTAAGAAGTGTGAAAAGATTAGGATACATACTCTTGTCAAGCCTAAGAAGTAAATTCGATCTTTTTTGGTCATTTGGTGGTTTTGGTCCCCCTTGTTTTGGTCCTCCATTTTGTATAGAGGGGATAGAATAGAGACTCATTTGTTTTTTCTATTTTCCATATTTTTTGGGGGAAGGGGGGGGGGGGGGGGGGGGGGGGTAACTT